TAATAAAAAATAATAAATAAATTAAAAAATTGAAGTTTTAAAAAGTAAAAATATATTTCTTATTACTATTATTCAATTAATAATTACTAGTTTGAAGCTAAAATTTATCACCCAACTCTGCATGAAATATTCGATCATGCAAAGTTGAGTTTGTTATTGGTTAGTTGTAGGAATTCTCCTCAGCTTCCAACCTCTTGAGATTTTTGTACCCATATTTTAATGAGTATCATTTTCTTCGACATTGAGAGAAAGAAGCAGCGAACTCTTTATTAATAAACAATTGATTGGATATGGTTCTCCATATTCTTTCATGGCAGTTATTAGGAATGAACTCAAAATCATCATGATTATCACGTCTTAAACAAATTAATTCTCTTGCAGCGTTAACGGTCCATTTGAATAAAACAACAGCAGGAGCATCCAAAGCTATAACGATAGAAATAAAAAAATAAGGAGAAAGATAAAATAAGCGAGATCGAGAAATAAAGAAGGAAAAAGAAAAAACGAAATAAACAAGATCGTGAAATAAAAAAAAGAAAAGAAAAAAATGAAATAAACAGGATTGAGAAATAAAAAATGAAATAAACGAAATCGGGAAATAAAAAAAAGAAAAGAAAAAATGAAATAAACAAGATCGAGAAATAAAAAAAAAGAAAAAAACAAAATAAACAGGATCGAGAAAAAAAATAAATAAAAAATAAAATAAACGAGATCGAGAAATAAAAAAAGAAAAGAGAAGAACAGAATAAACGAGATTGAGAAATAAAAAAAATAAAAACCGATCAAGAAATAAAAATAAAAAATAACAATAGATAAAAAAAACGAAATAAACAGTGATTGAGAAATTGATGTGAAATAAAAAATCCGAAAAAAAAAAATGAATTAGAAATGATAATCAAAAAAATAGGTGAAATAAAAAAACGAAATATTAAAAAAGAAAAAAAAAAAAAAAAAATTAGAAATAGTAATCGAAAAAATAGGTGGAATAAAAAAATCGAAATATTAAAAAAGAAAAAAAAAAGAAAAAAAACGAATTAAAAATGGTAATTGAAAAAATAGGTGGAATAAAAAAATCGAAAGGTAAAAAAAAAGAAAAAACAAATTTAAAAAAGTAAAATGAATTAAAAGAATTGAAATAACAGATAAAATGATTAGAAAAATAATCGAAAAATAAAAGATGAAGGAGACAAGAGAAGATTTATATTCGTGATTTTATTGATGATTATTGTGAAAAATGATAGATTCGTGAGCGTAAATTACATATATTTATATCTTTTATTTTTATTAAAGAACTTTTAATAATACAATAAAATTATTATAAAAAACTGATCAATATCTAATACAAAGTCATCCCTTCGTTCTTTT